TTTTGTAAACACTACAGTGTTCAGGAGTGCAAATTGACTATTGAGTATTGATTTTAAGCAAACCGTGTCTCAATATCATATTCTATCAAGTTGCTAACAATTTTAAAAAGTAGCGAACAGCGATTCGCTCTTTGAAAAGTAGTCAACTACTTGGCTACTTTTAGGCAAAATGTAGTTCGCTATAACTACAGCTACTGTTTTAAAAAAGTAGTCAAAAACTGCTGGCTACTTGAAAATTATAGTTCGCTACAGTAGCGAACTACAACTACTTCGCTACTATCCACCCTTGGCTATGACACAGGGGCAACAGGCATTCACGTCTCAACAAGCATTCACGTCGCAACAAGCATTCACGTCGCAACAAGCATTCACGTCGCAACAAGCATTCACGTCGCAACAAGCATTCACGTCGCAACAAGCATTCACGTCTCAACAAGCATTCACGTCGCAACAAGCATTCACGTCGCAACAAGCATTCACGTCGCAACAAGCATTCACGTCGCAACAAGCATTCACGTCGCAACAAGCATTCACGTCGCAACAAGCATTCACGTCGCAACAAGCATTCACGTCGCAACAAGCATTCACGTCGCAACAAGCATTCACGTCGCAACAAGCATTCACGTCGCAACAAGCATTCACCTCGCAACAAGCATTTAACGTTGTATTCAGAAAGACAACGCTGATGAAGATACCCCTGGGATCACAAACTAGTCGAACTTTTTGTTTTGCATAAAGAGTTTATTCACGTCGCAACAAGCATTCACGTCGCAACAAGTATTCACGTCGCAACAAGCATTCACGTCGCAACAAGCATTCACGTCGCAACAAGCATTCACGTCGCAACAAGCATTTAACGTTGTATTCAGAAAGACAACGCTGTTGAAGATACCCCTGGGATCACAAACTAGTCGAACTTTTTGTTTTGCATAAAGAGTTTCTTTGTTTCAAAGGCGCGTCTTTCAGTTCGCGTCGTGTTTTCTAAATCAGTCTAAAGGCGGATCTCCACTAGACGATTTTTGAGACGAACGTCAAAACAGTTCGCGACGACACATGCGCAATTGAAAAAACAAACGTTCGAAGAGCGACGTCTAGCGCTTGATGAAAAGTTAGACTACGACATAGTCTGTGTAATGTGATAATTCCGCCTACGAGCGTCTGTGACGCAGGCTAACGAAAAGTAGGATTGACTTCTACTTTTCGTCGAGCGCCAGACGATCGCCAAATTTTTAACCAATAAGATTCAGCGCCAACCAATTCGGAAAGTGTATTGTGTACCATAAACTATGCTTATATGTACCAAAATGCAAGCTTGAACATTAGAATAAACACGAACAGCTACTTGTCCAATTGAATATAATTTGTGTCGCTTTGTAAATAAAATTATCTTAATTTATTAAGTACAATTTAGTCATCTGTATAAAATAATAACAAAATGTAAAATCTAGCTACGTATTACAATTGTGATAATCGTACAATATAATCCTCAGTGCTGTATAATGTTCAGGTTAAAAACAGACTAGGGTGCCAGAACTCATTTTAAGTGGGAACTCTAAATAATTCTGTAGTAACATATATATTATATATTTTGTGGTATTTAAAACACTCTACGCATGCACGAAGGGCTGTTTAGCTTCGGCTATCCGGTCTGATTCGTGTCGCGAAATATTTCCTTTGCGGCAAAAGAAGAGATTGATTAACTTATTTCTGTCCACTTTATTTTAGATAACTTCTCTGTAAGACATGAAATATATTTACCAGCCTGGTTAGCCAATTAGCTAGCCCATCTAACATAAACAGCGTGGTAGATTAACCCCTAACCCTATTCCTAACGAATAGGTATTAGCACAAGCGCATGTATGAAACAATAAATTCTCGTTAATAAAACTCGTTAAATTCTTGGGCTTATCGTATACGTTTCCTCTATTTAGCCCCCACCATCTATTGCTACTATCTTCAGTAGCCTCCTCGGATATACCATTCGCACTATATAACCCATAGAGATACTATAAATTCGCGCACCCGTATAATACTACCATATTTTTGTGCAATGAAGGAGAAAGAGAATAAGCAACATTAACAATTTAGTAATTTTTTAATATACTTTTATTAAATTCCATAAAATTTCATAAGAATGAATTTAAGCATTAACTATGATTTAAGAAAACCCGACACCACGCGAATTGTTAAAAGACTTAATAAACAGGCGCATTACGGTTTAATTAATCTTTTCAAACCTGGTTTAGTGCTAGATCAATGCAAACTATTCTAATGGTAAACATGCCGACCAACATAACCAATCTTTTGATTCTACCCATAAAACCTATTAACATGTTATATTTTTACCATAGTGCCCTCCGCAGACCACTCTTGCTCGCCAATCCATCCCAAAAGACCGGTACAGATAAATATTTTAGTCAATCGAATGAATTTGGATGATTACATGCAACACTATAGGAGCACAGGTTGTTCTGTGGGGTGGTTAAGTGTTGGCGTTTACCAGTTCTCAACCTATTATTGTTTCTTTCCTGCTTTGAACGCACGCTTCCGGAAAGCACGTCATCTTCGCTACACAGCGGTCTCGTTTTCACGACTGAGACGTTGGTCATCGACTAATGTCACATGCACTAAAAAGTCTAGTCTATATATACTGGCACACTGAATTCTGTGAGACAGTGCAAAGTCAAAACCTAATCGTCTAGAAGGAGGTTCACGAAGTTTGTCTTCTTTGCCTCTTTTTGTCCGCTTTCTCCTTGTCTGAAATTATTAACCAATAACTTTTAAATAAAATATCAATATGATACATAATACATGTGTAACAAAAAATATTTTAACATTAGTTTTAACTGCAATGTTTCTCATAATAACTGCTATAAAAACTACGGAATATCTAAATGATTGTACATACTATACGCCACGACGCACTTGATTAAGGGACCATAAACCAATCAAGGCAGCGTCCCAGGTCATTTCGAAGTCATGCAGTGATTCCGACTGCTGTAGTTGTGTGACTCCGCTTTGGGCAAAGAGTTCATGGTTGTAAGTTTTCTGGCACCCCAGTCCATTTAACAATTATTCGCCGAAGGCGAGGTGATTATCGGGGAATATTCGCCGAGACGAAGTCGAGGTGAATATTCCCCGACAATCACCGAGCCTGAGGTGAATAATTGTTTTAGTATTTTTGCACAAGTCTTTTGTGTTATTTGGTATACTGAATTTATTTTAATTTCGCTTATTTCTTTATCAGTAAACTTTCACAAAACGGCTAGCCGCCATGTTGAAAATTTCAGTTTTGTTATATTCACCTGGGGCTGGTTGTTCAAAAGTCGATTAGCTTAACCCTAGGTTAACTTAAAATTCAAAGCAAACTTCCTAACAGCTTGTTTATAAATTTGGAAATATTTCTTCACAAACCATGTCTGGATCAATACAAGTTCGCTTTTCTGACATTTTGAAATAAATGGACATGCAGAAATATGCAAACTAAAACAGTGGGTTAAATTTTAAACCTGGATTAGCGCTAATCCACCTTTGAACAATCGGTCCCTGTAGGTGAATATAACAGCATAATACGTCAAATTTGACCAATCAGGTTGTAGGATTTATTATGTTCACTTGTGCAAAATCACTAAAAAGTGATATTATTTTTATTGCATAAAATTTCTAGCTAAACCTAAATTTCCTATTCTATATATAAACCTGATCCACTTTCAGATTTACTAAATGAAGTACACGAGGACTCTGGAGAGCCTGAACTGCTGGAGATTTCCGTTCCGTCATCGCATATTAACTTTTCTACCCTACGTACGATCGTCTCTGTAATATTTTCTGCATTTGAAGTATCTTCACTCATCTGTTTATGTAGTTCTTTCAATCTTGACTTTAAGTCTTCTTTCTTAGTCTCATTTACTAATGTGTTCAACGTTTCGACATGTCTTCTACAAAATGTTAATAAATATCGATTACTTCATGCTTAATGAGTGCATGGGATTTTCATTTATATTACATTAAATTTACAAACTCCTGTCCTCTATTTGCTGCATATTATGGGCTTTATATACTTTATATTACTTCAAATTTATTTTTAAAATCTGCGAATATTATTTTCTCCCACTTGTCCTCTCCCTATTATCAACCACACACGACCGGAAATTAGACAGAAAATGGCTATGCCTCTGAGCATTCATTCCATGTCATCGTGGGCTCATTCAGTTTGCTCTTGGTTAGTTTTTAATCATCTATTGTTCTCGGGGAACCAGAGTAATAAAAAAAGACTAAAGGCAGATGTGCATTTGTATACAGCTATTTCAATTAAGGTTGTCCACGAGCAAAGCGGAAAAGTCGAATACGGGCGCGAAAGGCTGCTGGGAATCGCTTTGAAAATTCATTAATTTGTTAGCGATTCCCAGCAGCCTTTCGCGCTCGTATTCGACTTTTCCGCTTTGCTCGTGGACAACCTTAAATATTAAAAAAATAATAAAAATAGAAGGCCTAGGTAAATAGCTGTATAATATTAGACAAACACAAGGAAAATATAAGCCTCTGGATGAAAGCGACAATTGATTGATCGCACCGCGCCAATCGGTTTAAACTAGGCTCAGATACTGACTGAATAATTCACAAATAAGTTATCTTATTGGTTTATCTCAAAACTGGTCACGTGTCAAGATTGGTTGATTGTTAACTGGATGTCGTTACACGATAACGAGGTTATTGTCGCTTTCAACCAGGGGCCGGTGGTTCAATCACTATTTTAACTGGAATACATACTTTAATGTTTTATTTGTACTTTGTAATTCTTTACAAGCACGAAGTACTTTCTCCCCAATAAAATACATGTGATTTCTCCTAGCTCTTCCTTCCATCTGGTCTGCTTCTAACAAGGCTCGAGCTTCTCTCTCGCGTACGAGATCCGCAGTAACATGTTGTAGTTTAGCCTGATATACCTAAAATTATATGTAATATTTAACAATTATTATACAGGGTGTATCGAAAAAAAGGTAATCGAACTTCAGCGCGCTATTATTATCCGAATTACTCTGCGTATGAACGAAATTTTTTCATATTCGGAAAGATCATGGTTTCAGCTGTTGAATGATATCTTCTTCATAATGAAGAAGATATCATTCAACAGCTAAAAGCATGATCTTTCCGGACTTCATACAAAATGGGTAAAAAATGAGCACATGCGAATCCGATAAAAAATTATAGTCAGAATCGCATATTTTCACTGTTGAGAGTTGGGTATAAAACCATTGAAAATTAACCCCCTTTAGTACTTAAGTTGATGAATTTCATTTCAATAAACTACGCACATATTCATAATTATTAGTTAAGTAGGAATAAACTTAGCTAAGCTACGACACGTTCGTGATTAATTGCTTTTTCTTTTGTTATGCATTGTTTAAAGCGCCGTTTACACTACGCTCAATTTTTGGTACGGCACGGATAAAATTGGTACCAAGGTAGTCCAAGAACCAAAAAGTGGTACGGTACCAAAAATTGAGTATAGTGTAAACGGGGCTTTAATTAGGCACAGAAGTGAAAATATGGATTTTGATTAACATTTTTGATCGGACTCGCACTTGCTTATTTTTTCTTCACTTGGCATGCAAAACATGTCATTCAGTAGCTAAAAGCCTGATCTTTCCGAATATGAAAAAAAATGGTTCATACGCCGAGTAATTCACGTACAATGGCGCGCTGAAGTTCGATTACTTTTTTTATACACCCTGTCTAGTAGAGAGTGAGATACTGAAAAATACACAGTGAGATATTTTCCATATCTTCACTAGTGAAGATATTGATCACGTCACAATTTGCTTTTGAGCGTGAAATTTCACAAGTTTTTGCATGGGACTATTTACACGGTGGCTTGAAGATATGACTTTTATCTTCTCGTGTTAAAAACAATTTTTCACCACTCGAAGATAAAAGTCATATCTTCGCGCCGCCGTGTAAGGTATCCTCTCTATATAAAGTATTTTCCATGTTTACATACAGTTATATCAACACGAGCGGAAATTGGGAAAACGAGAAATTGTGTGGAAACACGACGCCCGAGGGCGGAGTGTTTTCCCACAATTTCGAGTTTTCCCAATTTCCACGAGTGTTGGTATAACTGTATATCAATACGGAAAATCTTTTAATATTTTTTTTATAATATAGCACAAAGAAATATATAGAAAGAAATTTTCCGTGTTCAGAATTTACAAATGCTATATTATACTATGTTTTAACTTAAATAGAACACATGGTAGTGTTGGAAAATCATAATCAATTAATCACGTTAATCATAACCACCGTTTCCTGGTGAAGTCCGAAGTCGAGTCCGGAGTCTACTACGATATGACCATGCGGCCACTTACATCTGATAACTGCAGTTGAGGATTACTGACTTCCGGTAACGTCGATTTTCCATATCTTTTCGACTAAAATAGAAATAAATTTTATTTCTAATTAAAGTGCACATATAATGATTGAGAACTTTATATACTTGTGATATTGATGAAAAATTTCATCTTCATGACCTTCCTGGCTGTCAGAGCTACCGAAAGTGACGTAAAATAAGGCTTTTTTCTAAGAAAACTGATTTTTGCATATTGCCTTATTAAACGTCCTTATTAAACTGATTTGCTTTGCCGTATTAAAGCTATATACCTTCCAGTAGCTTTAATAATTTAAGTTTAAGCATATAGTTGCAATATGCCGCAAAGAAAACGAAGAAGATTGCGTTTTTCTCTAAGAAAATATTGCATCTCGTTTTAAAATGCTCTGATCACGAATATCACAAACATACAACATTCCTAATCGTTATATGTGTAATTCACTGAAAAGATGGCGGGATTCATGATACTTTGTAACACAGGGAAAGTGCCAGGCGGATAACGGCTACATAATTGACAGCCGGTGTACACCAAAAGTACAAAAATATACAGAAATATTAGACATGTACCCATCCTGTATCGTTCTTCCATTGGTCTATTGCTATTTTCAGTTTTCTCCTTGGACCAAGTCTAAAGACAGAAAATCAGCCAAAATAGCTTGTACATTTCAAAACCATCATCAGAGATATGAAAAACTAGTTTCATATTTATTCTGACACTGCAGAATAGAAAGAAAACATTCGTTGTCTCGAGCTGGACTCAAACTCGAATCTTCTGGTTTCTAGACCGCCGCCCTACTCATTGAGCTATAGAGGGATTCATGTAGCCTTTCTCGTGCCGCCATTTTTGGGTGGTATTTCAGCTGAAGTCTGCGAGATAAGTGCACATAACAGCCACCTTTTATAATTGTTTGACGAATTATGATAAACTTGCTTTGTAAATGGTTAGTTTATTTTGAAAAATTGCTTTTCACATTGTTTTGTCCGCATTGGTTAACGAGAATTAGATGCCACCCATAAATGGTGGATATTCGTCATCGTGAGAAAGGCTAATTCCGGCCTATATTTTACATTTCAAGAGTATATTTTATTATTTTTTGAATTGGAAAGCATATTATATTTGGGGACTTTCGAATACTTTATACATTTATGAGACCTAAGCAGGAACAGTTGCGACAAATGCGCTAAACTATACATAGGCCCTCTGTCAGGAATCGAACCTGCGGCCACTGCGATTCCGGTACAGCGCTCTAACCAACTGTGAGCTATACAGGGTGGATCAAGAAAAGCGCAATCCTCGACTGAAATGTAAATTGCTAAACAAATAATAGACGAAAATGTTAAAGTTTACATTCATTTTAAAGCGTAGCCATTCAGCTTTCTAACAGTGGGTTGTTTCTTAAATTTGACTCATTGGTTCGCGGGTAATAATACTTTACGTTATTGCGATTGGAGATTAAAAAAATTGAAATGGAATAACAAATCGTTCTCATGAAAATAACTGATTTTTTCATTAAAACAAAAAAATGTTGCATTTTATTAAATGGATTGTAACAATAAGTATAATTACGGCTTTTCTTCCACTATTTTAACTCAGTTTGAAACTTCAAATGCGATATAATTTTGGCTTGGACCATCTAAGCTGACTGACATCAACTTGCTACAATTTCTGTTTACATTACATTACATCGCAATTCGATGACAGTCTGGCTCAGACACCAGAATGTTTTGACGATTTTTAGCATTCGTTTAGGATTTTCAAACAACCTGGTCTCTTTTAAAATACTTTTAATTTGTTCTTACGTGGTTTTCCAGATGTAGTGACGATAACATTAAAGTTTAAAGAAGAAAATTCTAACATTTAAACCGACTAAACAATAACATAGTAAACTTGCATAATTAAACAGCAACTAAAAATGATAGGTTTTACTAAATCTTTTCCTGTGCAATTATTACTAGCATTGGAGACAAGGATAATAGTTTGTTTCAAAGAGAAAAGAACAGGCTTTGAAGTAAGCCCAAAAGCGTTTAACTAGATATAGTATTTCGAAAGTTATTAAGCACAAAAGATGAATTGCGTTTATTTTGATACACCCTGTAGAGGCCAGTTGTCAAAGTGTACGAAACTTTTGGAGTGATCCGCCCCTCGGACCGAAGCTGTGATGAGTAAAAATGAAATAACACAATACCTCACTTACACTACTATACCAAGCTCTCTAAGATCTTCTTCCGTTAAACGAAGAAGTATATTAAAGTCAATACACGCATCTTCAAACAGTTTCAAATATTTTTCAAGACCTAAATCTGTTAAAAATGTTTGTAGTGTAGGAGGTTCATGAGGGGAACGTCTCTCCATGTCACGAGTCATGTATCTAAAATGATCACAAAAATATATCTTTAATTAGACGTGATCGTGACTTCTAAAAAGTAATAATTTTCACATCATAGACACGATCAGAAATTGCGGCCATAAATTGAAAGCTTAGAATGTACACGCTGACGTGTACTGAAAATTAATGAGGAAAACTGCAAAGTTATTTCAAGATAAAGTCGGCAAGTTTTTGATTCATTCATTTGGTAGAATTTAGAGATTTAATAAGAGAAGGTTAAAGGCCCAAGAAAAAATATTTGGTGACTCAACTTACAATGTGAGCCTTATTTCGCCACAAATAAGTCGAAATAGAGCAAAACAAAAAGCGCTGGAAATTTCTTGTCTGAGCCCACAATATCATGCAAATGAATGGTCAGCGACATGACCATTTTTCTGTGCAATTTCCGGGTATGCCCACACACCAATTACCTGCATGCATAACGCGTACGTGTTTAACAAAATAATTACAACTAGCCTTCGTATTTAACTATAGGAGAGTCTTCGTATTTAACTATAGGAGAGCCTTCGTATTTAACTATAGGAGAGTGTCATCGAAGGCCATAGAATACTTCGGTAATGTTGCAATTGATGTGTTGTACCAAATAAACAAATATTCACCAATATTAAATTTCAACAAATTAAATTCTGCGGAAATTCAACGTCCAATCATGTGAGTTATCAAGTATGTAAATTGGTTGGCAACATGCGTCAGCCGAGTACGTCTACTGTTTTTACTAGTGAAAGCTCGTTGTCCTAACGTTTCGATTAGCCAGTGGATGGTTCAATGACTGTCATGTATAATACAGCAAGTTTTGGAGTAGCAATTAGCAAAATAACGAGCAGGGGCGTAGGCAAATGGCAAATGTCTGGTTGACTCGGCAAATCGTTTTCGGATTTATCGGCAAATTGTCTTCGTAGTCAGCGAAAATATCTGAGCGGCTCGGAATAAAAAGTAATAGTTATAGCAAAAACGTTGCTAAATTTACGAAAATTACGGAAAAAGTTAGCAAATAGGGATACATTAATGGAAAAGTTTGTGAAAAATGGTATGTCCGGAAACATTTTCGACACCCCCCCCCCCGCTTGCCAACATTTCGGGAAAAAATATTAATTAGCGACTGAAATGTTGTAGCCCACCCCACCCCACCTTCTTTAGCCTCTTCGCTACGGCCCTAACAACGAGTGTCTTGATGGCGTGGACATGGCGAGATATTCAAAATAAAGAAAAGACAATAGAACATTCTGATCACTATTCGCGGGTTTCATATGACGTCACGTGAGGGATCAAGGGTTCTGTGTCAAGGTAACCTGCGATCAGGCCTATAAATAAATAAATAAGCCTGATACAAATCTTAACAAAAGTCCATGCCGTTACAACCGTATTACGCTTGTAAATCTGATTGGTCTATTAGACAAAAGATTTTTTAATCTGTCATTTGATTGGTTGGTGCTAATTATATTATACTATTGTTGTTGATATATTTTATAGTGATCACAACAAAAATTACATTGTTGTTGTCATTGTGTGAAATTTAAATTTCTCCTGCGACATTTTGATTGGATACTAAATATAAACTTTGTTGTGGGTGGAAAGCGATCGGTTTAAGGTTTGTGTCAGGCTATTATTTGTAAAATAGACCTTATTGTCAAGGGTACAGGATGGGTATTATATTATTTATATTGGCTTTTATAATAGTCGGAGAACTCGTTTACATAAGATGCGTTGACAGCCATTTTGTTTCTTTGTTGTTTTAGTTGACTTCAGTTCAATGATTGACCCAATACTTGAGTCAAATTATGCTAAAATATCACGTGATTGAAACCCAAGAATTCTTTTGCAAGTGTTATGCAAAGGTCCACTACAACATCGCGCCGTATTAAACTAATAATATAATATGGATTTGATGAGCACAGTGATAATCACCAGGTCATCAATTTACTCGCAAACTCACAAGCATGGTAAAGTTAACCAATTAGTTAATAATGAAATCACACAACATACTGGTGAAAAATACTGTCTACTGGTGTCCCAACAGGAGTTCTGTCATAATCAACAATAGTCGAATCTGCAAAAGACAATCAATTATAACTTTTAAAAATTAATTAATTACGATTAGTTGAGAAGTTGAAATCACCACAAGTAACACAGGAAAGTTCCGAGCTCCAAGTGAGGCAATTGTTCAGAAATTTCTGGTCTACTTGCGGTGATTTCATTTCCTTTGCTTCATTTCTAATAATAATTAAGTATATTGTTCATGATGTAAGCAATTAATTATTACCAATTCATTACAAATTAATCATTGATTAATTAATTACTAAGAATTAATACATTAGTTAATTAATCATTAATTAACTAAGTAGAACTGCTAACAATTTATTACAAGTGGAATTAATTTCCATAATTCCCGTTGAACGGCTCAATTACCCATCAGCAGTTTCACAGTTTCAGTGCAGTAAAAATGAATTTATTTGGGTTACATTTATGACGAGAAATCATTTTTCCCATAGCGTGGAGGGGGAATTTTTCCCACAGTGCGTTTTTTCACAAGACAAGAAAAATATTGAACAAGATCGTGAACACACGTGTTAATAGAGAGGTTAAGATACCCCGGTTTCGTTCGATGTACGGGTACGAGTAGTGTCATACTGATGTCTGTAATTCGATCATACTTTTTCTGTTTTCTTGCAATAGACAATGATAGTAATGCGATAAATGTGCACCTTAATTACGAGTAAAGCTACAGACATCGACGAAAATATTGCTTACCAAAATCATGCTACCCGTACCCGTACACGTACACGTACACGAAAACCGGGGTATCTTAATCTCTCTAATAGTATACGCGCGATCTTTAATTCAAAGGTATGTAGAGTGTTAAATTGCGAATCTGGGTACCACATCTTTAGATTAAACTTACCACCTGCTGATAACACAAAGCTATCCCCAACAGCTGTTCTGAATTCGCCATCGATTGCAATTGCACTGGACTGCTGCACTTCGGACCTTAGAATTAGGGAAGAAACATTAACCAATCTTCAATGTGGATAAACATTTGAAAATGGGTGTGAATATCACGACGGGTGAAAGTAAGACAAGTGGCGGTCACCCATGGGGGACGACCGCCCGCAGATAAACTGTGTAACAAAGCTGTATCAACGATTTTACAACAATGAAAGCAATTGTAGGCTATAAATTATTATAAAGCAAATTTGTATGAAATTTAAGGCTAAAAGTCTATAGAACTGAGATCTGCAGCAACAAAATTGTGGCAACAGAAATCCCCCCCCCCCCCAGATATTGTGCGAAATACCCGCGTATCCCAAACCTTGAGACAACCTCGTACCCAGGCTCTTTCCCTTGAGAAAGTACGAGCAAAATGTAAGTGCGCAGATAGCGAGAGCCCCGTGTAAGCAAACAAGCCTAGGCCGTAATATTAAAGATCTTAATTAAAATAGACGTGTACGGCAGACTGCTAGCCGCAAACGGCCTTCAAATCGTATATTGAGCTCAACAGTTAGTTGTAACAGTTAGTTGTTCGAGGTTAGAACAACTTGTTACATGGTTAGCTACTTAGTTGTCAAAAACATATCTTTAAATGCGAGTTGAAGTTTGCCGTTAGTGGTTTGCTGTAAACGCTAATCAGAAGTAAGGGGGCCGTTTACCGATTCTCTTCTTCTGATGGATGTGAACGAATACTCGAATATCTAGATGAGTTATCAATGTTCAGATGAAGATACATACACTCAGAACATTCATAACTCATCTACTCGTTCACATCCATCAGAAGAACAAAATCGCAAATGTAGACAGGCCTTTAAGGTCGCTAGTGGCGTACCTCCTGCAGACCACACCATACTCCATTCTAGTATAGGGTACTATATGTGTATTCTGGAAATCACGCCCGCAATAAAAATCAACATACAGAAAAGTTTACTTACAATTGGCTTGAAAGGAGGATATCATCAAAAAAGTGATGTGGATTATTATCTTTCAACCACTTATTAACTTTTTGACACGGTTGTTTATCCATACCTGTACATAAATCGCTCAAATCTGAAGAAGGAAAAGGAAACTGACATTTCGGCATACATATGTCCCCCCCCCCCCGCCCCGTTGTCTCGTATGCCTATGTTTACTGTACCTGCATCATTTCTGAGTGATGGAAACCTGATGCAATGATTATCAATCATATTTATAATAACATTAGTTGTATTATATCGTTCCGCCAAGTCCCGAGCTGTGTAACCTTTGTTACATACGAGGTCTAAGTCGATTCTCTAAAAGTGAAATGTACAGTATTTTCAGTAAAACATTGCAGTACGTACTTGCTTAAAGCACAGTTCGGCCTTTTGAATAATAATGGTTTTTAATGTGAGAATAGGCAATTCCAGCTTTTAGTTTATGCGTGCAGGGGGATGGGAAGTAAGGTATCATATTGCTGATTATGCTGAAAAAATAAAAATGGTGGCTGTGTAAACACAGAGTGGCAGCTTTTACTTGTAAATATTGAAATATTTCGGTTGTTTCGGCTGTTTTTATTGAAAATTTTCAGCCTAATCAGCAATATGACACCTTACTTCCCGTCACCCCCTGCGCGCATAAATTAAAAGCTGGAATTGCCTATAGTTCTTGTCGTTGAGAGTGAAGTTGGCAACATCTTTTGTAAACTAGGTTGTAAAACAACATAGTCATAGAGTATATGCATTAATGAAGAAGATTAGATATGTTGGCAACTCTGATCCTGGCTTTGTTGAATCTTAAAACTTTGCCTATGAAAAGTACTATAATGACAAAAATGCAAAATTTCAAGTTCTCGTTCACAAAAATAAACTGTACCATTACAAAGTTCGCAAAAACCTTTAACTCAAAACCGACTTGAAAATTCGCACAACTCGCTAAAATGTCTTATACATATGCTTTTTGCGATCTTTCTTATGGTATAGTTTATTTTGGTGAAAAGTAAACTTGAAATTTTGCATTTTTAGATCATTAAAAAAAGGTCATCAAGTTTAGATTAGTGTCAGATAAAGATTAGATTAGGGTTAGATTAAGATTCAACATGTGTCGCGAATTATTGTATTGATAATTTCGGACGTGTTTAACAATTCACTCGTGTTGTAAATTCAAAGGTAGAGCTCATGCTGTAATATGTCACGTGAAGAGGCTTTAAAACTCATCTTCATTCTTTATATAAAAGTGCATTATAATTAGTATTCTTTATATAAAGAATAGTACTAAAATCGTGTTTGAAGCTATTCAAAACACTTGTAGTCGTGATTTATCGTATCTACCAGTAGCGTAGCCAGCCCGACGATTCAGTCCCGCTATGCAAATATTGCCATGTTTATAAACTATCAACATAATCAATTTCTAAAGAAATGAATAATGATGAGAAGAAATTTACATAGCGGGACCAAATCGTCGGGCTGGCTATACGCCACTGATATCTACGCGTGTTTGAAATAGTACGTAAACTTTCTAGTTAGCAGCAATGCAACAAATACAACTTACATGTTCTAGAAATGCACCAAAAACTCCTTCATTTCCTTGTTTAGCTACTTCCATAAACGGCGTGTAACCCGTATCATTCTGCCTGGAAATAAACCATCAAGGCGATATCTGAGAGACTGCATCCACCTATTTAATAGACGTTCGCTGTGCATGCTTACAGCACGTCCTTTTTGAAAACCACGTTTAAGACCGGATGAAACAAAGACGAGAGTGCATGAGACTTGGCAGTCACGCGACCTTGGTTCGTTGTTCTTAATGCTTTCCCGACACGATCATGCACTTTGTTTACTTTGAAATGTAGTCGGACACTCATTGAACCTTTATGAACCTTTATTTTGTTAATTTAGACACAAGAATAAGAAGGTATAGCAGAAGTGTAACTCGAGTCGATTCCCTTATTGTTTTACGTCCACGAAAATTTTAACTCGCTCACGCCAGGCCACGCCATCCTGGCTAGTACAGCCGGACGTTATGATCAGGATTTGGTAGGTACAAAGTGCCGGTTGTACTAGTCAGGATGGCGTGATTGATGACGAATTGCTTGTAAAAACGCGGACAAATACTTGCTTGAGTTACGCTTCTGCTATACCTTCCTATTCTGTGATTTAGAGCTTGAAATGTCCCCTGTAACAATTCGTCACCAGTGAGCTCCACATGTCTGGAGTGAGAACTCAAGTCCGTGTTAACCGCGCAGACAAAAACAATAAAAAGGAACTGGAACTGACGTCTAATTCTTTGTTTGCAATCGCGTGACTTTTCATTCAAATGACGGGCAATCAAACAACTTGTGGACTATTTTTCTCCTATCAGAATGGTTGTAGCAAGAAAAACTGAGCGGTAATTCATCTTTTGAGTCTTAAAGACTTAAACTGTCTCTAAACTCGATCAATACATTGAAATAGCCGTTTTTTGTTATACCGAATTGAAATCCCAAAATTACGTCAATGCAAACAAAGAATAGCTCCTTCGATTTCCGCCATCTTGCCAAGGAGAAAAAGAAAAAGTTGGGGAAATTGCTTTAAAAGCTGTTTACGACCTTCAGAGCTATTGGACGTCAATGGCCGCCATCTTGGCTGCACTTTTCTCATAGGCCGAATGAGAAATGCTCCAGATATATATGGAGCTCAATGTTCGTGACTGTTAACTCTCATCAACTCTCATTTTCGTTTGACCAGGGCTTAACACTCTAAAAACAATCTGTGTAAAATGTTCTTTACTTAATATTGCTGGTTAATTTTCCAGGTTATTTTTATCTTGTTCCTAGGGAGTTTAACCTATAGTCGGGTTAATTTGACCAGGATATACTAGTTTTAATCAGACTATGCTAGGTGGTATTAACCCCAAATATGGTTATTTCTGGGTATAACCAAGACGTATAACAAGTGAGAGTGTTAGGCTTGTTTTAGACGTCGCATCTTGCATGTGTCGAATTTAATTCGGTTGGGCGTGGCTTTTTAAAGACTTGAAATGTCACATGTTGCCACTTCAGAAGAAGATAAATCTTTCGATATTTCTATTTTCCCGACAAATTTAGGCTTATAGTCAAATATTCTTATGACATTCTTAAATTTCTGAGTACAGTACCATAAGACACTTTTGCAGTTGTTTGTAATAGATTCATCACATATGCTTTCATACTTTCCTCTGAAAGATGTACTTTGAACGAACTTGGGTATATTCTCCGTAAACTCTTTAAATATTGCCTATTTTAACCTTACTATTCTTTTTACGAGTTTTTTTTTATCTAAAGCTTTACGTCATTCCAGGCCGAATGTGCAAAATGTGTGAACTCAACATGTGCAAAATTCGATGTTTAATTTAAAACAGGTGTCGAATATTTTCATGTAGTTCGCTCGAATCTAATGCGAATTGTATCCGATACATGCAAAATGCGACGTTTGAACCAAGCCTTAAGCCCTGGGCAAACTAGGAAACATTGTTGCGGAAACATTGTTTCCTGCCAATGTTTCGCCATGTTTCCCAGAGTGGGCAAACACTAGGAAACGGCATTAGTGAGAAACATAGGGAAACATCAAATGTTTCCGAATTCGGTAGGAAACATTTTTGCTTCCCGGGAAGCAAATTTTGTTTCCGCAACAATGTTTCCACGGGTGAGCAAACATGGAAACATTTGAGGAAACATCGAGAATCACAAATGTTTCCACAACAATGTTTCCTAGTTTGGCCAGGGCTTTAGTTTTAGAGTCGGTATTTAAATAATGCCATTCAGAGTCTCGACTGCGCATCCAAATGACGCGTTCTGCGTCGATCGAGATAAATTGCATGTAGCTGAGACTGGAAGAATTAGAATATGCATATCAAAGTATTCAACTGTTCAATCGTCATTTGAATATGCAACTAGAGATCCCAAGGATAGTGCAAATACAACATATTATTTTGTGATAGTCGCTCGTATAAATAGCAAACGTTATAGTTTACCTTTTCACAATTTAAGAGTATAACACAACGTGTTTACAACGTACGTCAAAAACAATATGGCGACTGTTGGGAATAGTGCTGGTCAACATCTCGCAGGCGCTCACACTCCCCTCCCCTCCCCTCCCCTCAAACATATATAACAGAAAATTTCAAAGTTACTAATATTAATAAATGTTCAGTCCAACAATTCATCGTTTATTTCCATTGGTTCGCGCTGTTCGTATTGTTGTTCATGCCAATCTACCTGAAGACGTTTGGTTGGTTGTCTCCTCTAGCGCTGCGTCTTGATGGTTGTGGTTCACCTTCTGAATCGCTGCTTGTCTCATAGTTGTCTGCTTGGTCATCTGACTCTTCAGTTTCCCATGAAAGGACTTGTTGGCTCCAGCTCGTTAAAATGCCTTGGTTTTACACGTCCGGTAGGGTTATTTTCCTGTTGCAGCTTGTAAGTGTTGCCGTGGCGCTCTAATACTATGAATCGTTTACTCTTTAAATCTACCAGCTTTTTACCGCCTAGTTTGTTCCGTTCTGTAGCTGTGAGAGGAGTTCGAACTCCTTCCTCAATCTCGAATGGCCGTTTCATTGCCGTTTTTGTTCTCTTCTTATGTTTGTCCTGTTCCAAAGAAATCTTGCGCTTCACCAGTTGAAAAACATCATCCAACTTCTTGGCATCAGATCGTGCCTGAGCTGCGACTGCACACCGTTTCACGTCTTCCGGTCTCCACTCTTCATCTGAGCCGGCAGAATCTTCAGGTAAGAAGAATGTTTCCGGTCGTCTCGCTTGTTGTTTGAAAACCAGTTCGTGCGGTACGGTGATATCCCAGGGGATCTGTTACTGAAGTGTTATGGGCAAACGTCACTGTGTGCATCGCTTTTGGACAACTTGAGGGATTCCTATTACATACCGCTCTAATATTAGCAAAGAGCTGGTTTTGTTGCTCAACTTGTGCTTGTGACTGCGGATGCTCGGAACTTCCTAGCGCATGTTCGATGCCAAGCTCCTTGCAAGTAGCTTCGAAGACGGTCGCAGTAAAGTGGGGTCCTCATTCGCTACCAATCACTTCGGATATGTCCAACTGTGTTATCCATTCATCTATTAACACACGAACTGCTGTCTCTGCCGAATTATCTGACGCTGCGACCAACTTAACATAACGTGTTAATACACCCTGTATGGCAAGGACATATGTGAAGCCTTCTGGAACTGATGCTTGAAAGGGACCAACGAAATCGATCTGGATGCGTTGGAATGGTTGTTTTGGAATGTCATTTTCTCCAGGGGTGCTTTACCTTTTGAACCTTGCAAAGACACGTTGGCAAACATCGCAACCGGCAACATATTTTGCTACATCTAACTTCACCCCTGGCCACCATACCATTGCCCAAACACGGTCCCATGTGCGATCACGTCCCATGTGTCCCCGGCCCTAGAGGTGAGTCGTGAACTAACTGAAGAAACCTCCGACGTAGGCTTTGAGGAAATACAACAAGGAGATTCTGGTTTTTCCCGAGTGGACTATTTTCCGTTGAACCACCATTGTAGCTACAACGTAGAATACCATCTTCCAATACTGTCAATCAATCGCGCGCCTGCCACAAGGCCTTTGCCTCTAGTTTATTGGGTCCTTCAATTCCAGTCGTTGTTCACAAGCTCTTAAGTATTCCCTTACCGGTACCGCTGGATAATACCTTTGGGCATCATAGACATCTTTTCTTGCAAACATGGGAAAGATTCGGTAAGCACTCTCCTATTCAGCCCAGTGAACTCAATCTATTTACTTGGAACGATAACATTCAGTCATTTGGCAGTTAAAAAGTGAAGCTTCGCGTGAGCAACGCGTGAGCAGTGACGTCAGCCCTTCACGCCATTTCCACGCCATATAGTACGTCAGTTTCAGTCCCTTTATACGCCATCACCGCTCGGTCTGATCGCCACGCCATATAGTACGTCAGTTTCAGTCCCCTTATACGCCATCACCGCGCGGTCTATCACGAATCAGCGCGCGTCACGGCGGCGTTGGCATTGGCATCCAGTGAACTATATACATGGAAGGCTGACTTCAGTCATTGACGTAATCAAAAAGTGAAGCCAAAGATGGCGGATTTTGAAGCCATTCTTGCGCGTCATTCTCAGTCCCCTACCCGCGCGGCCAAACATTTTTTGTATTTTCATGGCGGG